CCCTATAATTTAAGTATTATTTTAAATTCTATAAACTAGTAAATGTATTTATGTATACTATTTTATTGTGCAGTTAGTATTTTTCTCAAGAGGCATTTATTTACTTTGGTAAAAATCCTATATTTTTATTAAAAATTTAAATCCTCATTAATTAACAATTTTTAATTATATATACTTTAATCACAATCTTGTTAGTAATATTTAAAAAGTCTATCAAATTACTATCAAATTAACTAACATAAATAAATAAAAAAATATAAAATAAATTCCACAAATATTATAAAATACGAAAATTTTGTTATTGTCTATAAAACTTTTTTTTAAAAATGTCAAATAAAATTGACTCTTAAAAGAAATTGCTTTAATCAAAAATTATTTTTTAAAATTATCAACAATTCAATCATTAAAAAAAAAATATATTTTTTTTATCTAGTGTTTTCGTGGCTAACTGCGTATTTTCTGTACAGCTATTAATATTTATTCTCAAAAAGGTTAATAATGCTTTTTATGAACTAACATATAAATTGTCTCACTTCATAATACAATGAATTTCCACTTTAATATAAAGATTCACATATCTTTCAACCTTATTAGAAGAATTCTGATGCAATTTTAAAAGTAACATTAAATTTTCTTATAGATATAGTATAGAGAAATTGCTTTTTTATTAATTCCAAAAATATAAGATTTTGCGTAATTAATTAATAAAGAGTATTAGTAATATTTTTCAATAAATAAGTAAACTAAAAAAAGACGTATACAATGAAAATGTGTATAAATAAAAAAGAATATCATTTTCTTTTAATAATTTTTTTTTGTTATGTTATTTTATATTGTTTTTAGTGGAAAAATGTAATTCTTTCATTCATAAAATTTATATTTTTGATTAATAAAGGATTATATTTTATTTATCTTGGAATAGTTTTAATATAAATAATAATTTATACTATATGATATAAATTTTATAAAATAATTTAAGTTCTGTATGAAATAGTACATTTATTTCATACTACATGGCATAATCTATATTAAAGTAATATATTATCTAAAATCAGTAGTTTTTCATTAAATAAAGTTAATATATATTATTCTACATACCATTTCTTATTTTTTTTTTTTTTTTGTTCATTATTCAATAAAAATCTCCAAATAGACAATTAATAAAAATTATTATCATGATAATATTTAAATTATATAAGGTATCAAGTGAAGAATAACATAATTTTCAAAACACATAGGAAATATTAAAACATGTAGAAAAATACAACATCATTTCCGGTTTTTAAATTTCATCTTCAATGTTAGGCATAACAAGAATTCTGAATTATGTGAATCCTACTTAATCTAAATGGTTTCATTATATATTTTAAGATTCTATTATAAGATATATAAAAATACTTTATATATATAAAGATTTATCATAATCCAAATTTATTTTTACACATTTAATAAAAAAACCTCTTTATATCATAGAAACTATTAATAAATTAATGAAAATATTAATTCATATTTTCAAATATGCAATAAATATACTATCAGAATACAGAATGATTTATTTAATACAAGAATTTCAAGATTATATAATGGATGAATTAAAAGTTAGTATATCTTATTATAATATATATAACTATTAGGAAAGTTATATTAAAGAAGGTTAAGATAAGAACTTTAGTTGTATTCTTAAATATATAAATGAAAAAAATATATATCCTTTGAAGAAGAAGTACAAAATATAGTTTTAAATTATTATAACCTTCTTTATGAGACCATAAGAGAAAATTCAATATATATATACTTTAGCTATTAATTATGTAAATCCATATTTTTTAGAAATATTGTATGAAAGTACTTTTGTAATAAGTATTGTAATTTAAGAATGAGATAATTTTCCCCCTTAGACATGAATAATTATAAAAGTATAAAAATGATTAATAAGTTGCAAATTAAAAAAGTTATGTAGAATATTAAGCAAACATATTAATAAAGATAATTCAAAGGAGACTTTAGGAAATCTTCTTATAATAATTTTTTATGAATAAATAATTTTACATATTTATATAATACAAAATAAATAACTTATAATATTTATATTTCTTTAAATAAAAATATGTTAACTTAAATTTTTATTATTTATAATGCATTAACTATTTTATATAAGACGTTTATGTAATGAAATAAAAATTTTTATCCATCCTCATTAAAACTAAATTTCTATTTGCAAAAGACATTCATTATATGAAAAATAACTTTTTGTATATTAATTTACAATTTTCTATAAATTAAATGCATACATTAAAACAATAAAATTATTTATTAAAATTTTATTTTTATTATTAGTTTATATAATTCTTTAAAATCAATTTAAAACTAAAAAATATAATTATCAACAAATATAGCGTTAACGAAAAAAAAAAAAAGAAAATATTCTTTTCTTATTAATATACGCACCTATCTAATATTATTTTCATTCAGTTCAATAAGATATTTTATATATTAGCATACACAACTAAATCTTCTCTTTATATTATGAATTTATGTTTTTATATAGTTTAACGATATCCTTTATAGAAAAAGAACAAAAAAAGAAATGTAGAGATTTTTCTATATTATAGAATGATAAGGAAACTAAATTCCTTAGAAAAAGACCTTCAACTATTCTTAATTTGATATTGTTTAGTTAAAATGCATTGTTATACTCTAAGGATTCATAAATTTATGTTACCAAGTAAAATAAAACACAATGAAGATATATTCAAAATAAACTGGAGTATGATACCCAAATTTAATTAAATAGCCACAGCTACTCAAAAACATTAGGAGAAAAATAATTTCTTCTAGATGATATTTTTTTAAATTAGAGATTTTCATCTTATTTTTATTTATAAATTAAAAAAAAATAACATGCATAAATGTAATATTAATATAATAATTATATTTAATTTTTTGATACATTATAAAACTTTAAGTTATACAATTTAACAAACCAATAGCTTTTATTAAAACTTAACTACATCACTACTATTGTTTTATCACTATTATTGTCACAAGTATAAATGAAGTTTCTTTTATTCCTTTGATTTATATAATTAAAATTAAAATTTTAATATTAAAATTTTTATTATCATTGAAATTCCACAGATAGTAATAACCCCATTTTTATTTCTTTATTAAAGAATTTTATTTTATTTTTAATTTTAAAATTTCAATGTATTTTAAGTAACTACTAACTAAAATTATTTGTTCATATTAAAAAATAATAAAAAATGTTTTAAATATAATATTTAAAATAAAATAAAGGTCTATGAATATTTCATAAAATTCTAAATATTTATATAAATAAAAAATATTGCCCTACTACAGAAATAATGTTTCATTTTATTTTATATTTCGTAACTAAAATTGTAAAAGAAGAAATGAGAGGGAATCATTAGAGATTAGAAAAAAAAAATGTGGAATACATGCAAAGAAAAAAAAAGTTTTTATAAAAAAAAAAAAAAAAAAAAAATTCACGTTATTTTACAATAAAATAAAAATGAGGTAATTATATATATTAATACTGCATTTGTAAAAAATAAGATAACTTAATAGAAAAATATAAATTATTCATCAAAATTATTAATAAATTGAAAAAATATAAAAATATTTTTATAGTAATGTTATATACGTATGATTTTTTTTTTAAGTTTTTTAACTATTTAATAAAATTAACTAATATATTTTTATTGGTATCAATTTATTTTATATAATTTTGTGAAATTATATCAGTTCTAAAAAGAAAAAAAAATTGTATTTTCAATTATTTTTTTCAGAAAAATAAAAAAAAAAATGGCTTCTCCATTTTCAGGAAATTATCTATTATTTTTACTAATAACAAAGGTAATATTGATAAAAAAATAATTACTATTCTCACTTTTTACTTTTCTAAACACATTTTATTTTTTTATCTCTTTATGGTTCTTGTTTGAATATTTTTATAATAATTTATAAATAAAACTATATTAAAAATTATTAAAAAAAAAAATTGATAATATAATTCAAAAACATTAACAAAGAATATATAAAAAATTAATATATAAAACATATATAAGATGAAGTGAATAGAAAAGATCAAAAATAAAATAATAAAATAATAAAATGAAAATAAAAAAATACTTAAATAAATATCTCTTCACTAATTAAAAAGTCATGAATTAAAAAAAAAAAAAATAATTAAATTAAAAAAAAATGATCAATATGAAAAATAAATCATTAAATATTACATTATTTTTCTACAATTAATTTCAAATTTAACTTTTATCTCCCTAATATACGCATCTAATATTCGTAATTCCTGTTGTATCATTGTAAATATCATAAGTAATTAATTTAAATAAAAATAATCTAATTGCATGCTTCTAAAAAAAATATACTTTTACACTTAAAATAAATACATATATAAATTAACTTTCTCAAAATAAAAAAAATCGAAACAACATCGATAATATTATTGTAATAATGCTTCTTTTATTCTTTTTTTTTTAATGTATATAAAAAAAAAATGCAATATTTTTATTTTTTTAACTCTAAAAAAAAAAAAAAAAAGAAAAAAAAAAAAAAAATAACAAAAAGCATAAATGTTTAAATAAAAATTGTAAATTATTTATAATTATTCAAAATTTGTTAAAATTGTTTGTTAAATATGTATTCTTTATATTTATAAGTAAATTATTAAAAAGGTTTCAATAAATAATGTTTAGTATTGAATATTTTTAATACAAAAATATTTTCGTAGATATCTTACAGAAAAGAAAAATCAGACGAAAATCTTTTAAATTGATTTTTGTTCTCTTCATATTTTATTATTTTAAAATTCTATTTATAATAATCAAATTACCTTCCTTTTTTATTATTTGTAAAAAACTGTAATAAATTTATTTCAGAATAACTATCATAATATAAACTATACTATAAAATAAATTAAGAACAGCTTTTTAGAAGTATTCTTTTATTTTTTAAAAAAAATGAGTTTGAAACCTAATAAATTTTCAAATTCTTCAGATGATAATTCAAAGGAAAAAGGTTTGTATTCCTTACATTCAAATGCATCAAATGATTTTATCTCTATTTCATCTAAAATATATTCATCAATATGTGATGCAATTTATCATAATAAAGAATCACTTATTTCAAAAAATTCAGGTGGATCTTTAGATAAATTATCAAAATCCTTCTCAAGAGGTTTTCTTGTTTTCTTTCAGCTATCTGTGATTCTTCTTTTTCTTCTTTATTATAAAGTAAAATAAAATGTGAACTAAAAAATATACAATTTTTTTTTTTTTGTTTTTTTTAATCATTTTCTAAAGTTAAAGCCTAGTAACCTAAAAAAATGTGCTTTTAAATACCTAATTAATTTTTGTTGTAGAATTACTTTCCTGGAGAATCGAGCAATGATAAAAGCATAAAAATAGAAAAAATTTCAGGTAATCAAAGAATAAAAAGGTGTCTAGAAGGCATAGAGATGGAAAAAGATCTAGAAGAGTTTAAACAATTCAGAGATGAAGTAAGTAATATGGAAAAATTATTTAATATAGAAGATGACATGGATTATACAGAAGATGAGGAATACCTTCAATGGAAGAAAGAACTAGAAAATTTAGACGAGAGACTTACGTCACAGCTTTCTGATATGTGGGAAGATTTGAAAGATCTAAAATATATAGATGAAGAAAAATGGAAAGAACTTTGTGAAAATTGTAAAGGAAAATTGAAAGTCTGCGGAGAGGAACGAAGAAAAAGAGTAAAAAAATCAGCAAGTAATGTAAAATGCGCAGACAAAATAAAACAGCTATCATCGGAGAGAATTGTAGAAAAAAAACTAGAAACCTTTTCACTGAGGAAAGTCAAAGAAGAGGAAGTAGAAGACAATCCATCAGAAAAAATCATAGTCAAAACAGAAGAACAGACATTTGGAAAAATTAACGAAAAAATAATAGAAGGAATTCCAATTAGTCAAGTCAAAGGAAAAAATGTAGAAGATAATTTATCAGAAAAAATAAAATCTAGCCAAGAAGAAGAACATGAATCAGAACAAGTTAAAGAAAAAAAAGTAGAAGAGCACCCATTAGAAAAAAGGGGGGAAAAGAAATTAGAAGAGAATACATCAGAAAAAATGGAGGAAACGAAAGTAGAAAAACCATCAAAAAAAAACCCAGAAAAGAAATTAGAACAGTATTCATCAGAAAAAAAGGCAGAAAAGAAAGTAGAACAAACATTAAAAAAAAAACAAGAAAAGAAATTAGAAGAGAATTTATCAGAAAAAATGGGGGAAAAGAATGTAGAACAACCATTAAAAAAAACCCAAGAAAAGGAATTAGAAGAGTATTCATCAGAAAAAAAGGCGGAAAAGAAAGTAGAACAACCATTAAAAAAAACCCAAGAAAAGAAATTAGAAGAGAATTTATCAGAAAAAACGGGGGAAAAGAATGTAGAAGAGCAGCCATTAAAAAAAACCCAAGAAGAGAAATTAGAAGAGAATTCATCAGAAAATATGAGGGAGAAGAAAGTAGAACATCCATCAAAAAAAATCAGAGTCAACAAAACAGAAGAACGCACATCAGAAAAAACTGAAGAAAAAGAAATGGAATTCCCATTGGAAAATATAATAGAAAAAAAGGAAGAAGCACAAATATCAGAACAGAATAAGGCAGAAAAATTATCGAAGTTAAGAACTAATAAAGATGATTTAAAGGGAACGCCTCTTCTAAGGGAATGGGGAGGTAAAGATAAAAAGTACCAAGAAGCCCAGAGGAAAAATATGAAAGAAGCAGAAATAATGCAGATGAAAGAAGAAAGCAGGATTTCTAGAGAGAAAGCAGAAAGAGAAGCAATGGATAAAAAGGGAATTGAACTATTGGAAAAAGCAAAGTTAGCTAATGAAAAAGTAGACAAAAAGGACAAAGAGCAAGAGTGGAGAGATCATATAATGAGAGATAAAAATGAAAGACTAAGGTATATGAAAAAGGGGGAAAAGATGTTGAAGCAAGAATGGAAAGAAAGAAGAAATCTAGAGAAGAAAATATTGAAGAAAGAAATGAAAGATATGAAAAAAAGAAAAGAATTAGAGAGAAAAATGAGTAAGCATAAAGATATGCAGAATATGGGAAATGAAAAAATTATGAAAAAAGAACAAGAAAGAATTGATAAGGCTAAGTTAAAGGAAGACATTATGAAAAGGAAATGGCATGAGAGAAGAGAGAAAGAAAGGTTAGAGAGAGAAAAGAAAGAGAGAAAAAAAGCTGAAAAGGTAGATAGGAAGATGATGAACAAAGAATGGAAGGAAAGAAAAAAACTAGAAAAGAAATTGTTTAAGAAAGAATGGAAAGATAAAAAAAAGAGCATGAAAATGATGAGAAGGGGTAGAGAGGTAGATGAAAAAGATGATCTAATGAAATTAAAATTAAATATGATAGATAAGGAAAGAAATGAAAAAGCGAATTTGGAAAAAGAGTTAATGGAAAGAAAATGGGAAGAAAGGAGAGAAAAAGACAGAATTTTAGGTGATAGAATAGAAAGAAAGAATAAGGAAAAAATGGATAAGAAAAGAATTAAAAGCAAATGGAGGAAAAAAAATAATTTAGGTAAAGTTTCAGAGAAGAAAGAGGAAAGTTACATGAAAAAGAAATCTCAAAAGGAGAGAAAACAGAAGGAAAGAATGGAAAAAGCAAATATGGAAATGAAGCTAATGGAGAAAAAACATGATGAAAGATTACAGAAAGCAATGCTGCAGATGAATATAGATGATAGAAAGGAAAATTATAAGATGGAAATGAATAGAATAGAACAATTATGAAGGTAAAAAAAAAAAAATTATTTTCCACTCTAAGTTTGATGAAATGCAAATATATTATTATGACAAAATATGAAAGCCATAACAGGGAGTCATATTAATTAAAATAAAAGAAATATTTAAAGGTTAAAAGAAAATTCATACATCTAAAGAATTGCGTAAATATTCCTAAAAAATAGACCATATGTTTTTTTTTATGAACTAATATATATAAATATATTATGGAATTTTTTTTGTCCTAATGATTAGCATTCTTTATTTTTATTTCTTGAATATCTTGGTACATTTTTACTAAAGTTAGTAGATGTATTTTTAAAATTCTTTTTTTTATTTTTGTTGCGAATTAAGAAAAATACGCATTATAATGATACATTTTAATGTCCTTCCATTAAAATTATATGTCATTTATTTTATGTACGTACAAGAACTTTTTACTTATATATCATTTTAAATAGTAATCAACCCTTGAATTAAGCCATCATATTTTTAATTCACATTATAAAATAATTACAATTGTTTTTTATTTATGTAAAAAAAGTTGCACTTTCATTAATTAATTATATATTCAAACACTTTTATACTTCATTCAGTAAACAAATTAATGAGGAGCATATATAGTAGCCTACACTAATAATTATTATAAAATAAATTTTATAGTCAATATGTAATATATATAAAACTAAAAAATATAAATTAGTTTATATGTTATAACATCGGTTGATAAAAGATATTGTCAACTTTTTATGAAATAATAGTAAATCACGGAAAATATAAAGTTATTTATACAAATTTTTTATTTCATAAATAAAAAAAAAAATAAATACAATTTTTTATTTATTTTTTGTAAGCTATTTTAGTTAAAATCATTCTTTTTTAATTTTTCTTGTCAGTGGAATTAATTTTTAAACCTATAGAAAAAAAGAACTGGAGTTAAATGAAAAATAAAGAGGACTTTATTTTTATTAATATTTAATTTCTATGTATTTTTAAAAACTGTTAACTTTAAATTTGTTGTCCTATCGCAAAACATTATTTGGTATGCAATTAGTATTTTTAACAACAATTTTTGCTTTAAATAAAAATATGGGTATTTTTGTTAAAGTAAATAAATTCTCAATTATTGATTTATTAGATGGATTCTCAAATAATGTTTGAGAGCATTGAATAGTCAAATTATTAAAGAACATTTAAAGTTGCGTCTAATAATTTTTATTATAGTAAAAATTATATTGATACTATAAAAGAATAAGCATTATGTATATGATCTATGTAGCTGATTTATTAACTGGATGTTCGGTGACTTTGCTAGAGTGTTGAACAAACAAATTAATAAAGAGCATGTAGAGTTGCCTCTACGATTTTGATGCATTTATAAATATTTTTATATGCTTTGAACGAGTGATTCTTAATTATGTGATCTACTTTGTTCAGAATTCTTTCATTTCAATAGGCATTTATTTATTTTAATAAAAATCCTTATTTTTATTAAAAATTTAAATCCTTATTGAATATTGATTATTATTTAATTATAAATTATTTATTTTTTTGTTATGAGTTATGTTCAGCAATTTAAATTTATTGTTGTTGAATTAACAAACATAAACAATTAGTAAAAATGCAAATTAATTATATGAATATTAATTACGTGAAAATCTTATTGTCATATGTATAAAATTTTCTCTCACAAATTAAAAATATAAATATTATGCAAATTAAACTCCCTCATATGTAAATGTGTTTATCTGTTTAAGATCTCATTTTTATTGGTACTAAACCTTACTCTTGATTTTTATTTTACCATTTTTCTCTCATCATTTAAATCATTTCAAAAAAAATGAATATTTTTTTTTTTTTACGTATCTTCATTTATTAAAAGAAGAATATCTCCAAAAAAAAAATTCAATAATTTTTTTTTTTTTTTTTCCGCGTGTGCATAACCAACTACGTATTCTTCATATAGCTAGTCCTTTTTATTACCAAAAGGTTAATGAAGCCTTTTATTAACCAGTAGCTAAGTATTTGTTGTTATTAGAAACATTTGTCTATTTTAATAAAAATTATTTATATTTTTCTTAAAAAGTTAAATCCTCTTCAGAATCACTTATTATATATAAAATAATCTTTTTAAAAGATTTTAATAAGAAACTATTTAACAATTCTTTTCATTCACTAAAAATTCATTTCTGTTAAAAATAGTCTTAACCACACAAATAAAATTAAAATAAAAAAAAATACATTTAACAAGAATAGTTTACAAAAATAAAAAAAAAATTTACGTTTTTCTCTTTTATATCTAAAGAATTTTTATATATATTTATATTTTCATGTAAGTTACTGTCTGTTATTTCATAAAAAGATAAGAATATCTTTTATTACCCAATTGTGTAAACTGTAATCATAAAAATTGCTTACTTGTGCAATCAACATAATTTTTACTGTAATGAAAGTTAATAGAAACCACTATACATCCTCCTTATTAATTTTTTTGTTCAAAACTTGATTTATTAACTGGATGTTCGGTGGCTTTTCTAGATTACTGAACAAACAATATAATAAAGAGCATGTAGAGTTTCCTCTACGATTTTGATATATTTATATATATTTGTTTATTCTTTGAACGAGTGATCCTTAATTATGTAATCTACTTCATTCAACATTCTTTGATTTCAATAGGAATTTATTTACTTTAATAAAAATCCTTATTTCTATTAAAATTTAAATCCTTATTGAATATTGATTTTTAATAAAATGTAAATTATTTATTTCTTTGTTATGAGTTATATTCAGCAATATAAATATATTGCTGTTGAATTAACAAACATAAACATTTAGTAAAAATGCAAATTAATTATATAAATATTAATTACGTGAAAATTTTATTGTTATGTATATAAAATTTTCTCTTACAAAATTCTTTAAAATCATACTTCGTTAAAAAAAAAATCTTTTTTTTTTTATAAAAATACAAACAAAAAAAAATTGATCATTTTTTTTTTTTTTTTTTTGTTTGTGCATGTCCAACTGTTTATTCTACATATAACTAGTCCTTTTATTATCCAAAAAGGTTAATAAAGTCTTTTATTAACCAACTATATATATAAAGCAGTTTACTCGTTTATAGCATTAAAACTAAATTTTAATACAATAAATTCGTAAAAGCAACTATACTTTGTTTAATTTTAATTTAATTAATATTTTAATTTAAAATTTTTATTTTATTAATCAACATCAAATACTTCTTATTAGCTAATTATATATTTTTTTTAAGTTAATTCACACAACACCCCATAAATATAATTTCTTTTAACAAAATATTTTAACTTTAAAAGAAATATATACTATCCACAATAATTTGCATTTTATTTCCAAAAAAAAAATTAATAAAAAAATTATTTTTTTTTTTTAAGATTACCCTTTTTTTTCATTTTTTTTTTTTAGTATACGTATTTTTTAAATGGTTATTTTTGCGCATGCAATTACAATTGCACATTGTACCGTTATTCAGCATGCACAAAGTAAAACATTTTAATTCCATTTATGCATCTAAATATTATACAAAAGAGGTCCGTAAAATTTATAAACCATTAAATAGTTAATAAAACAATTGGAAACAAAAGCAAGAATATTAAAAGCATCACATGTAAACCCATATTATATTAGAAGTAAACAATGGAAAAAAAGTTATCATTCCCTAGATTAAATGTACTACCAGAGCTAATAGATTTTAATCAATTATATCAGTTTAAAATTATAAAAGACAATGAAACAGTCAAAGTTAAAACATGGGAACTTCTGAAATTTAATAAAAATTTTTCAGAAGAATATTTTAAATAGTTCATTATATTTGAGAATACTCCAAAAATGTTATTGATAACTAGAAATATACATGATAATGTAACATTTAGAACTTAAGATCTATGTACGGGAGATATATAATTTGACAGTAAATAATAAAATAATTAACATGTCGCAGTTGCAAATTGAAGTTAATTACTTTTTGAAGATGCGAATGAAAAATTCATTCATATGATAAAATTGTGAGCTGTTCATTTATTGAAGATTATATTTTATATCCCCTCAGTATTTTATTCTTTAATGAATCAAATAGTATTAGTAGACGAGATATTTGTAGATACTTTGGAAGATATATCTCTGAGAAATGTTCAAATAAAAAAATTTTTAACTTTCCTAAGAATAAAAATTTTAGTGGCGTAATGTCTTCGTTGTTAACTTTAGAAAAAAGAGATAGGAAGTCAAATCAAAAATCAAATTCATGTATATATGATACTGATAAGATTAAGGAAGAAACTAATTCTGTGTACATATTTCAAAATAACACTATAAAATGCTATTGTTGTGAAGAAAAGGTCATCTTAAGATGGATTATATACATTGAAAGAAAAAGTGTAATTATTTTAGCATGACAGGTCATTTGACATTAGTATATAGAAATAAAGTATTTAAAAATAAGGGAAATGAAATTAGGTGTATAATAATAGATAAAAGATATTATATTAGTTTTAAGTTAAATTAAAATAAAACTAATTTGAAAAAGATTGCATTAATGAAAAAATATTTGGATACACAACAGAAGAGTATTGAAAAGATGAAAAAGAAGACAAAAACAAATACTGCAATAACAAATCTAAAGAAAGTGACAAAGAATTTTCTAAAAAAAGAAATATAATCAATAAGGTATATAAAAAAAGAGAATCTGATATAGAAGTAAAGAATAACAAGAACATTGAAAATTCGGTAGAAATGAATCACCTGTTAATAAAGTACAAGATATTAAAATTGTGATTTATTAGTTGTTTCTGCAATGACTTTGTTAGATTATTGAACAAACAGATTAATAAATAGCCTGTGGAATTTTCTCTACTAATTTATTGAATTTAAATATAATTTTAATTCTACAAACTAGTATGCTGTATTTATATAGTCTACTTCATTGAGCAATTATTGCTCTTTAAGAGGAATTTGTCTAATTTAATAAAAATTCC